CATCACCAACTCCTGGAGCTTACTCAAACTCATGTCCATGGAGTTGGTGATGCTATCCAGCCATCTCATCCTCTGTTGTCCCCTTCTCCTCCTGCCTTCAATCTTTCCCAGCATCAGGGTCTTTTCCAGTGAGTGAGCTCTTTGCATCAGGTGGCCAAAGTATTGGAATTTCAGTGTCAGCATCAGTCCTTCCAATGAATATTCAGGACTGATCTCCTTTAGGATGGACTGGTTGGATCTCCTTGCAGTCCAAGGGACTCTCAAGAGTCTTCTCCAACACCGCAGTTCAAAAGCATCAATTCTTCAGTGCTCAGCTTTCTTTATAGTCCAACTCTCACATCCATACATGATTACTGGAAAAGTCATATCTTTGACTAGGTGGACCTTTGTTGGCAAAGCAATGTCTCTTTTTTAATATGCTGTCTAGGTTGATTATAACTTTTCTTCCAAGGAGCAAGTGTCTTTTAATTTCATGGTTGCAATCACCATCTGCAGTGATTTTGGAGTCCAATAAAATAAAGTCTCTTACTGTTTCCATTGTTTCCCCATCTATTTGCCATGAAGTGATGGGACTGGACACCATGATCTTGTTTTTTTGAATGTTGAGTTTTAAGCCAGCCTTTTCATTCTCCTCTTTCACTTTCATCAAGAGGCTCTTTAGTTCTTCACTTTCTGCCATAAGGATGGTGTCATCTGCATATATGAGGATATTTCTTGTGTTTTAGAAGACACTTTATATGATTTCTCTATTTTAAAGTCTACTGAGACTTAATTAGTGGCCTCACATGGTTTTTCCTGGAAAAGGCCCCATTTCCACTGGAGAAGAATGTTTGATTTTCTTGTTGGGTGTAATTCTCTATATATGTTTGTTTGGTTTAGTTGATTTATTTTGTTTTGGTGTGGGTCTCTTTGATTTCATCTTATATGGAATTTGTTGATCTTCTTAAATGTTTATATTAATGTATTTTATCAAATATGGGAAACTTTTAGCCGTTATTTCAGCAAGTATTCTTTCTCTCTTCTGGAACTCACACAACAAACGTGTGTTGATCTACTTAATGGTGTCCCGTAGTTCCCTTAGACTCTTTTCTTCAATCTGTTTTCTTTCTGTTCTCAGATTCAGTGCATTTTACTGTTACATCTTCAAGTTTGCTGATTATTTCTTTTCCCTCTTGAAATCTGCCTTTGCATTCTTCTAGTGAATTTTTCAGGTCACTTTTTGTACTTTTTTTGGGAAGGGGGATATTTGTCTGGTCTAAAAATTGATACAAGGTAGATTGACAGGAGAAGAAAAATTAATTTCTTTGTACAGAGGTCTCATAGAAATGAAACCCTTGAAGTGACCAAGTCAGGCTGTTTATCTATTAATTTTACACAAAGAAACAGTTATTTTTGACAAGTTAACAAAAGGGCTTTACTTGTAGTAGCAGACCAATGAAGAAGTCACACAAATTTTTTATACAGCTTTCTTTAGTCTTGAATTTCCTTATTCTGTTGATGAGGATGCTTTCTGTACTTTGGGTATGGGAGAATACCTTCATACTGGAGATTTCTTTCTTACTTTTGGGGGAAAGAGAAGGATCAGAGTATTATTTTCCTGTAAGTATCATTTTTTTTTCTCATTGTTTGTCAAGTAACTAATTCAAAATAATCTATATGCGATTGTGCATGTATTGGGGCAGCCTGCTCTCAGTCAGGAAACTGGTCATATTAATATAAATATGTGGTAAGTCTGGAAATCATATTTCCCCCTTCACTAATTTTTGTTACTTTCTGTGATTGTTTTTATTTAATTTTATTCTTTTTTGTTGTAGGCTGTGTCTTTCTGAGGATCAGGCTGTGTTATAAACTTGGGATCTTCTCAGTCTTTTCTGAATTTGCCCCTTTCACTGGGCAAGTGTAGTGACTTTCTCTTTTTTTCTCATGTATGCAGTTACTTTAAGTTTCATTCTTTAAAGTCTGGCTCCCAAAGCAGGGAGGAATTGAAAAATGAAAGTTGTGGGGGAAATGCACTGGTCCTTTAAATATATCCTGGAAGTCACCTTCGCCAAAGGAGAAGGGATTTGCAACAATGAGGGGATTAAAACAATTTACCTCATTATATGCACCTATGAGATGAGAAGTAATAACCAGTGATCAGAACATAAATCTTATATTTGGGGGACAGGGTCAATTTTACTCACCCTGGCCTTCCAAACTGAGGGCAGGTTGCTCCAGAACAGGTAAACAGCTACCTTACACGGAGCAGGGTGGTATGGAATGGGTAGCTGCTATTATGCTAAGAATTCAACTTGACTGAAATTAGCAGCAATGTGTAGTTCTAGCATTCTTCTGAAGTTAAAAACCCTCATAGACTCCAGATTTCCAAAATAGTTACATCAGGGAGATTGCCTAGGCTCGGGGTGGGGGGCGGGTCTCTGTTGCTTTCTGCTCTCTTCTACTGTCTGTATTTTTGTCTTCCTTCCTGTTTTGTGTTTGCTTAGAGACTTACTAGTGTCTACAGCTTGCAGTTCTTTTAGTTGTAATCCCATTATTGCTCAGGAATTCTAATGACTTGGTGGTGAGGTGTTGCTCCGGGACAGCCATTCAGTAGCCCCAGTTGTTGTTTAGTCGCTGAGTCGTGTCCACCTCTTCGTGATGCACACAGTCAAAGGCTTTAGCGTAGTCAGTGAAGCGGAAGTAGATGTTCAGTTGTTTAGCGTCTCTTAAAATTTTTTTCCGTGAGATTCGGATTGTTAAAGAGAGTAGACAGCTCTGGGAGTATTTAAATTTGTTCCCCGCTTCCTGTTGCTGGATGCTGGAGGAAATCTCTGATCTTCACAGCGAGCAGTTGGTAGGGCTTTGTGGAAGTGCGGTGGTATGCCTAAAGCTGGGACTCCTTGGAATTTTAAACTTTCAGTCCAGTCCAAAGAGAGTCTCTAAAAGTCTTCCCACAGACACTGGCCCCATGTGTGTCTTCTGCTCCTGGGCTGTGCTATTGGTAAACTGTGATAGACTGGATCCATTTGTCTGTGTCTCTAGTTTTCAGTTTGCTCACTCTATGACCTGAATTCTTTGATGACTAAGAAGAGGTGTTGATTTTCAGTCTGTTCTGCATTTTTACTTGTAAGGATGAGAGTGATGATTTCCAAGCTCTTTATATGTTTTATTGGAAACTGGAAGCCCCTCATATACTTTTTGGAATGCAGGAATGTAGGAGTTTATTGTTAATAATGTTAAGGTACTGTCCAAAACATATATAATTACTTTTCCATATTACCAGTTCTTAAACTATTATCTCAGAATGAATTTTAAGTATGGTCAGATAGATACTCTTGAGGTTTGATTTCGTCTAAAATATTGGACAAAAGAAGGGTAATTTTTACTCTTGATTGTATTTAAAGATGATAAATATTTAGACTGCTATGCTTGTGATACATATTTTATTTGGGAAGCTAATGCAAATGTTTGTATATTTCACTTGTATTTTACAAAGCCCATAAAAAATATCTGAATTGGTAATTTACATTTTATGTCTGTTAATTATTTCAACTTATGTTTTAAAATTAGAAACTGATTTATAATTAATATAAATTTGTTTATGATAAAAACTTTATCACTAATTAAGAGCAAATATGATTTCTTGTAGAGAATCACCTAGGATGTCTTCAGATATCTTCTCTTTCATGAATTTAATGTTTTTGTTTTTAACATACATATTATTTGGTGAAGGATAATCTTGAATTGTTTCCCCATTTTGATAAGCTGGTTTGGTAAATTTTCTTATATAGGACCTATTTTGTTCTAAAACATTAAGAGATTTTTATGTCTTATTCTCAAAGAAATACAGTGATAAGTTTTCTAGGTAGAATCCATTGTCACTATAGTTTGCTTGTATTTATTTGCTTGTATATTTGGTGCTAAATATAATCCCTTGTTAGTATTCCATTATATCTCTATTTAAATACTAAATGGTGTCGCCTTAGCTCTATGCTAAAACTGTTGTACAGAAGAAATTCTTTTTAGTTAATATAGAGATATATAAATACCAATTATATTCATTGATGCTCAAAAATGTATAAGGGTATACCCTTTCATTAAATCATTAGATCATTTAAAATAAAAACACACTGGAAAAAATCAATTTAATTTTAAAAGAATTTAATTTACAGTGTTAATATAGTTTCCTAATGAAAGTCCTAGATTCTAGGGATCCATTTTAGTTACCAATTCTTAGTCTTTCTTCGGGATAGTACAAACTAATCAACTGATCACTTATCACAGGTTTCCCTGTTAGGACCAGTCCCAGGCAAAGTGTAGGAAACCACATTTCAGAGGCATCTCTATCCTTGTGTTTTAGCTTTCTCTACTTTTAAATGTCCAGCTAAACAGTGAAGCACTGAGTTGATTATAGGGTAAATGCATTTTTAGTCTTTTATAGTTTTATGAATAATTTACTTTAGCTTATGAATATTTTAAATTTAATACACATAATTATCTTAGTAGCTATTTTTAGGTATATTGGATGCATAACCCCCCAACTTCTTTATCTGCTCCTTTGTGAAGTAAATAAATCCATTTGGAAGGCTTTTAAAATACATTTATAAAACTTTAAATTTTACTTAAAATATTTATACCTTCAATTATATTAAGGAAGAAATTTTAAAATAAAGAGGAAATCTGTTCATCTTCAGTAGACCAAATGTAACTGTATTTAATATAATACTTTATTTTAAATGCTTCAGTTTCAGTATTAATACAAGTATGCAGAAAACTTGAGGACAAATCATGGAATCATTAAGACAGCAGAAGAATTTTAATATTAGCCCCCTAATAAAACAAATGATTCCACTTTTCCTTTTTGTGTCATACTAATTCAGATGTATAATTCAAATATATGGCAAAGCATTAAGCTTTTCTATGTAACAGACCCCATTTTTCATTTTTATATGACCACAGATCTGTAGATAGAAATTTCTTCCTAGTACAGTGCACTCAGTTGTGCAAACTTATCTTTTTAGGGTCAAAGAAGAACACAAACCACAGACGACACAGTAAGTAAACGTGTTAAGAGTTCAGTAGGCTTGACTTCTGTACTTTTGCCACATTCTGCTTTCTGCACCTTGGATGGTATTAGCTCACACTAATACTGGATAGGCTGCAGCTAGTGTGTCTTCTGCTTTCTGACTCTCTGGCTTGTAAGAGAGCTGCCCGCAGCTTCTTACTTCATCCATACACTGACTAGATGTAGTTTTTTGCTGCCTGCTTGTGGACTGGTTAAGTGTTCAAACTTAATTTCCCTATATTCTGACTGCCTGGATGATAATTGAAGCTCATATTCCCATTGGCTGTAGCTTCTGTGCCTGTGTATTTTTATTAGTATGGATAAGAAAACATTTGACCTACAGTTGTTTTATTCATTTGGTTGTTCAGTCACATTATTTGCTTATTTAAACAGGTGGTTTCCCTTTAGTGGGATCACTGAACTGGTAAATAACGTTCTTCAGCCCCAGCAAAAACAACAAAATGAAAAGGAGCCCCAGACGTAAGTAAGCTGATCTGTACAGACTAAATATTATCTCTGATAGCATAACATACTGAAGAGTAGGTATTAAAGTACAGCCCTCGATATAGCATTCCTCAAAAATGAACATTGTTAGATTATGAATATGATATTTTTCACCTTTTATACTTCATATCCCATGGAAATATTAAAAGAAAACAAGGATAATTTATAGGGTAGTAAGAATAAAGAGGTGATTATCTCCTCAGCTTTAATATAAATTACATTATCTGTATTTATCCAGTAAAATATTATCTCCAATAATGCAATATATTCCAAAACATGTTTCTTTCAAAGATAGATAGTTCCTGAAGACATAAGATGTATTAACCACCCACCCGCCCCCCCTGCCGCCCACCGCCGATTCAATCTTTGTTCAAGTTTATACAGGTTTGTTGTTTTTTTTTAAAGGCTAGGAGAATTTTTTTATTGTAATACTTCTGAGTATCTAAATATGCTCCAAAGGTGTTAGTTAGAACATATAATCTTAACTAAATTTATGTGACTACTAAATCCTGTTTTCACTGAACATTTCATTAGATTATGAAACATAATTTGGGAAATGTAGCAATTTATTCTCACATTGGTCTGAAACATTAAACTATGTCAATTCCATTTATTTCACTTATTTCTAGGTTTAAATATATTCTTTAAAAAGTTGTAGATACTTGTATCTTTTTAACTTTGTGCAAGAAATATTATTTATGTTGTAAAGTGGAAGTTACTTGGAGAATGTGAGAAAGATTGCATAGATATAAGTTCCTCTCTCCCCATGATAATTGCCATCTTACTCAGAAATGCTGTTACCAGTCAGCTTCTGTGCTTTCTAAAAGTAGGAATTATGTCTGTGGAGAAGATGGTTTGGTTGTAGGATTGGGCAGATTGAAAAGTGACATGAGCTCTATGAGAGAACTACCAGAAACCTTAAGATGAAACATTCAGAAAAACATTAATATTTTTGCCTTTAATCGAAACTAGAAGGTAATGTCTTTTTGTTTTGCTGTTGTTGAGGGTATTCCCTCATCCATTTTATGTTATCTTGTATGCATTTTATTTTAAATTTTGTCAGAGTTTCAGTTTCAATTGAAGTAGAAAACTGTATTGTGATATGCTCCTCCTAATAGATGATAATGTAGATGTATAGTTGAAACTGTTGCTATGTTTAAGCCAGTTGAAATCAAAACCTATGTTTGTCTCGTCTACATTTTATCTTTGACATCTAGCAGAATGCCTGATCCACAGTAAGAACTCAATAAATGTGTCTTCACAACTCATTTTATATATTTTATCCTCTTACAATATAAAAATAATGTGTTCCAAGGAATAAAAATAATTTCTCTAATCAGCAAAAATTGTGTTAAAATTATACAAAATACTATTGTTTTGCTGATTTTTCTTTAAGGCACTGAAACGTGGTAATATAAAAAAATCAAAACAAAATATAATTAGATGCAACTTTGTCTCTGTTTAAAATGATGTCAGTTATGTGTCTTCTTTGTATGTTTTAGAAAATAATCAAGATTAAATTAATTATTTAGTAGATTACAGTAGATATTAAATAGATATTTTGTTAGTAACCTTAAAAAGTGATTTCTAATTACTGAAACAAATGACATTTGATTGGCATAAGCAAAGATCAAGGCATATTTGAAATGAAATAGCTTTATTTCAAAATAAAAATAATACAATTAGCTTTAATTTTTGGCTGGGAATATTGTAGAAGAGACTAGTACTTTGTGATGTTTTAAAAATTATATTAATAAATATAATTTCCATTAAAGTTTCTTGGACAACTAATTCATTCTTCTTATTCTGTGACCTATACAGTTTAAAAAAATCAGAACTAATAGGTTCTCTTAATAGTTACTTTCTTCATCTTGCAGTCTTATTGTGTTAAAGATTTCTGATACATAATTTTTTAGTAGCTTTCCATTTATCTTTCTGATCTACAGATGAGGGTTTCTTCTCAATCTTCTTTAATTCATCTTCTTTTCAATCAGAGTCTAGGATTTCTTATTTCTGAATCATCTGAAGGTTTCTCTTTTTGACTACTATTTGAATGGGATAACATCCAATCTGCTTGTTCACTTATCTATTAAATTATTTTGGAGTGTTGCATTCTAGGTATTTATTTTAATTTGTAAATGTCAGAAAGTACAACTTATGCTTTTCGTATTTTGTATAAAAATTTTCACAGTAGAGTAAGTATTCTCTCAGTATTGAAAATCTAATATTTCCTGAATGGTAATTTCATTTTAATGCATTTCTATAAATCCCATGTTGTGATTATTTAAAAGTTTAATGATGTAGGTTCTTTGAAGTCTGTAATTTTGAAGTTTGTTTATTTTATAAGTGTTTTTAAAAAAGGTAACAGGAATGTAATTTTGGATTTTGAATGTAATGTAATATTGATTTGGGTATTTCATGTGAAAATGTAGGTGTAAGTAGAATAATGTATTCAGCTTTGACTTTCCATGAATATTGAAGTATAGAAAATGGAGTGGGCTGATTTTCAGTTGTCAGTTCATTCAGCCTTTGCAGAAATTGCCTAATATACAAATTAAATTCTTTTCTTTCTTTCACTACTTTTTTGTTTTAATATCAAAATGTTATTGCCTGTAAGGCAATGTAATATACATTATATGTAGAGTGTAAAACAAGTCTTTGGATAATTAAAAAGGGTATACTCGGAAAAATATAAATGATTTTTAATGCAACTGTTATTTTAACATGGTGCTCCCAATATGTAACTTAGTACCAAAAATACAAATTAATTAAATACAAATTAATTAAACTAACCAATTGGATTGGTTTGATTTTGAACGTTCATGTTTTATTCAGGTTGTGACATGTTAAATAATAAATGTACTTTTAAAAAAGCAGGAAAACCTAAAATGTGAATCAGAATGAGATGGCCACTTAATATAGTAATCGATTCTCTTTGATAATGAGGTATTTTGATAGAAAAAAAATGGTAAGGGGAAGAATTTTTTTAAGCTTAGGGAACATCACAGGTGAAAGTTTTTAAGTAGAGAAGGGTTTGAGAGACAAAGAAGACTAGTGTGGCTGGAATATAGTGGACAATAGGGAGTGCGAGACCAGGTGTAGAACTCAGACAGGGCAGTGTTTCTCTGGAGAGGGAGGAGTTTAGATCTGAATCTCAGTATAAAGGGAACATACTGAAAAATTTTAAACATGAGAGTGATATGATTTATGTATAAAAATCAATCTGGCTGTTCTGTGGATAGCGTGCATGAGGATGGAGGTTGAGAGAGTAGCAAGGAGTCTTTTGTGAAGGACTTGGCTAGAGATTATGATGGCTTGGACCAGGTTGATTACACTGAAGATGGAGGGAAGTGGATTGGGGATATATTTGGGGGTTGAAATGATGTAATTTGTTAGTGGAGTATATTTAGAGGAAGTTAGTAAGGAAGATGAAAGAACCAAAGAGGACTGCCAGATTTCTGACTGGAAGAATTTATTGGGTGGTGATATCATTTACTATGATCAAAAAGCAGAAAGGATGAATAGGTTAGAAGTAGAAATTAAAACTGAAGTTTTAAATTTTAAAAGTCTAAGATGCCAATAAGTCAACCACCTTTGAAGGAAGGATATGGATTAGCTGGAGGTAAAACTTTTGGAGTTGTCAGTATGGTGTATAAAGCTAGGAGAGTAGATAAGCTGACCCAGAGAGAGAATGTGTGATGAAGAGCAGATAAGAATGTCCAAATCTGAGCCCAGAAAATCAGGTTACTAGGAATCCAGGGATAGAAGGACTATGGTTCCTGCTCTCAAAGGTTTGACATTCAAACATCTTGATAAGTAATTAAAAACAATATTGTGGAGACTTCCGGTTTCCTCCTTGATATACAAAGAATTTGGAAGCTGTCACTCCTATCCTTACAAGAAAAGAGCTGGATAAACTGAACAAACTGAAAAGCAACTCTTCTTTGATCCACCAGAAAAGTGAGGTCACGGGACAAATCAGTGCCCTGACAACTGAAAGGAGAGGTAAATAGAATTTCTAGGAGTAGAACCCACTGGGGCCAAGAACTGGTAGGAAATTGTTGAAATACGGAAAGCTGAGTGTAGACTAACTTAGGAGTTAAAAATTCCTGGAAGTCCAGCCTTCGGGGAGCCCCCACCCTAGTTTTATGAGTTTTACTTCCATGAAAGTAAAAGTGAAAGTCGCTCAGTTGTGTCTGACTCTTTGCGAGTCATGGACTGTATAGTCCATGGAATTCTCCAGGCCAGAATACTTGAGTGGGTAGCCATTCCTTCTTCAGGGGATTTTCCCAACCCAGGGATTGAACCCAGGACTCCCGCATTGCAGGCGGATTCTTTACCAGCTGAGCCACCAGGGAAGCCCAAGAATACTGGAATGGGTAGCCTATCCCTTCTCCAGAGGATCTTCCCTTTCCAGGAATCGAACTTGGGTCTCCTGCATTGCAAGCGGATTCTTCACCAGCTGAGCTACCAGGGAAGCCCAAGAAAGTGAAAGTTGCTCAGTTGTGTCCCACTCTTTGTGATTCCATGGACTATATAGTCCGTGGGTTTTTCCAGGCCCGAATACTGGAGTGGGTAGCTGTTCCTTCTCCAGGGGATCTTCCCAACCCAGGGATCGAACCCAGCTCTCCTGCATTGCAGGAGGATTCTTTACCAGCTGACCACCAGGGGAGCCCTCCATGAACTCTACCAAATTCTCAAGCTCAGTGAAAAATTCTCTCATACTTCCAGCAGTGGATGGGATAAGTGACCATTTTTGACATATTCCTAGAGATTTTCATTCTGAAAGGAGACTACTTAACCAGAGCCCAACTAACATGAGAGTGGAGAAATACCTAATTACAGTCCTCTCTAAACTTCCTGTTTCTCCAAAAGGGGAAAAAAAAGCTGAGAAGTATTTGTGACAATCATAGCCCAGGGGCACCAGCCCATGAAAAGATTTAAGACTTACTTATGGGATTCTAGAATTCTCTTCC